GTCATCATAAGTAGATTGTGTGATATGAAATAGGAAAAAAAAAAACCCAGTATAAAACAACCTCGAAGGTTCATTTATAAATTAAACATTACATACAGGAAGCAGAGCAAACAGGAACCTCCAATAAGGTCAGAAGTTGGATTAAGAGCCATGGAGGAGTAAACATCCCCCTAATCTCAGCGAGATCAAAAGAAACTAAACAAATTGGTCTGGAGTCTCGACGGATCTTGCTGAGTTTACCATCCCCCTTCCAATCAGTTACACCCACTGTGTACTCCTTGTCATGTTCGCAAAACAAAAAATATCCAAAGACAATTCACTGTGTCTGCAATGTTTACCATTTTTTGAAGTGGTCAAATCAAAGATATGAGTTCACATATTGCAGCCATCCCCCTCCCTTGAAATTCATAAAAAAAATTATACCAAAAAAAAAATCCAATCTCCCTACTCAATACTTGTAAACTATCAGAATTTCAAAGGTTGAACATGTTGAAAGAAAAGCTACACAAGTTCATTTTTTATCACAATTTATTCATATAATTATTACAGAGAACATATATCCTCCATAATATCACACTCTCCCACACCATTGCCTGCTTAACAAGCAGATTTTGTTTCTATTTATGACCAAAGTGAAAAAATAAAGTTTGAATATGAAAATACAAACTTTTGCAATATAACAGATTCTGATATTTAGCTTAGATTTACATGGGTACATGTAAATAATAAAGGAGGAGAAAATGTCATTCAATGCAAAATTAACAAATTTTTGACACAATATAATCCTTTTTCCTACAGATTGCTAAAAAAAAAATTAATTTGTGCAAGAACAAAACCTTGTAAAGAAATACCAAAAAACTGCAAATACTGTAAATATATTAAATAATTTCCCATACACCATAAAAAGAGAGAATTAAACCAAACTGTATTTTAAAGTACGTAAATATGGTACTGAAAATGAAACATACATGTATTTTTTTTTAACGTTCTGTAAATCATTTTATCTTCGGTCCTGCAAATCAATGTATAACGGGATATGAATGGTGTAATAATGTTACACACAGTATTTCAAGTACCTACCTTGTTATGAACTTTTTTACACCACAGTATTTAAATTCTAAGAGCATGCCCATTCCTTAATGCATTTTAATAAAAACACTAAAAACAATACAAAGAGAAATATTAGGAAAACCAAGATGTACATCCAATACTGATTTTCATAAATTTTGCCCATTTGAACTGCATGTAGAACTGCTGATGTAGTATTTTTCCAGTAAATAAATGTAAGATTAAACTATGGTGCCACCAATTTCTTTTTCTTTTTTTTTTTTTTTTTTTTTGGAAAATGATTAATTTACACCATACTGTAAAAGCAAATATCTCATGGAATTGTAAATAGCTTAGGATATCCTCAAAAAGTGTACCATTCCTGATAAATGAAGTGTACAGACTAAAGAAGTATTGTACAGAAAAAAAGAAAAAAATACACCAAACTTCTTAAAAAATACAAACTGTATGTATCCTTTTTAATGTCATAATCTATATTAAGTATTTAAGGGAATCATTTGAACGTATTGGTCTCAAACACTGAATAGTAAAATCTGGAATGAAGAAAATCCTCAATACATAAAATCACAACTTGTATATATATTAAATACACCACTTATTCATATGAACAATGCACACATAATTTAATGATTAATTAATACATTGACATTTTTGATAACACTGACACAAGCATGTGCAGTCTCTCCTACAAGGAAAGCTGTTCTGTATTGAACAATTTCTTGTGAACACTTGTTTATCACTATAGGTCCAGTCGATATTTTGTTCTGATCTTTATGGCTTATGGCTGAATGTTTGAACAAATAAATGCAAATCCACAAAGAAATTCCTAGCCTCTTGTGCAAACAACTTTTTCATTGGCTGGAAAGCTCATTTGAGAGCCAATCAAGTCCTTCGTATAATCCTGTTCCTTGTGTGGCACATGTGCTTTGAATATACCACTGAAAAGAAAACAACATTAAAATGAAAAGTACCTTCATGTACAATTTAATGATTATATGTACTTGAGTAGCTAAAACTTGATCAATTTCTCTTATCAGATTTTCATAACATGAAATGATTACAATCTTGAAATAAAATTCTGTTTGATTTCTTTTCTCAGAGTTAATAATATGTGTAATAAACCCGAGTCCTTACTTTTCGTCCCCTTAGTTGACTGAGTCCGAGTTTCTCTGTGATTTCTGATGCTGCCATGGCATTGGGGAGATCCTGCTTGTTAGCGAATACTAATAATACAGCATCTCTTAACTCATCCTCCTCCAACTACAAGAAGTAGGAGATTGTACAGAAAAATTAAGGTGTGCAAAACTCTGTATTCCCATATGTAGAGGTACAGTAAAACTCAGTTATAATGAAGTCACTCGGACCTATAAAATTAATTCGCAATGTCCGTAATTCGCTATATCCTTTTAAGGCATTTGTTAAATCTATATATAACTGGGGCTCCAAGATAACTTAGCTATTTTCATGAATTCACAATATCAGTGTTTGTACTACCGAGTTTTACTGTAGTATGCTTATTGTGAAACAAATAGAATTAAAATCATGCTTTTTACTTCATTTTTACTGATAATCTTAAAGACTCTAAGCAAATTAATTATGATTTTAAGATATTAGATGCAAAATATGATACATGAAGCATCAAAAATTTTCTCAAATAATTTAATCATGTCTGTTGTCACCTTTCCTTCTACAGACTTTATTTCTAAAAACTTGCTTCTCAAATTTTTATTTTGCATATGCACAATGACATTCCAGGGTAATTTTTTTTTTTTTTTTAAATATGCCCATTTTTCTTGTACTGCTGTTACTGTTCTTAATAAAACAGTCATTATACATGTAATTCATTTTTCTATAAAGCTTAACAATACATTTATGAACACATTATGATCTCTTCAAAATTCTGAAGCAGTAATATATATATTCAATATTGAAATAGACACTTTTTTAGTGTATAAATCCATTTAACTTTTATTAGGATGCTGCTCCTATTTATTTAGCAAGTACATGTTAAATCTCAAAACTTCACAGATATCCCCACACTTTACACACCTATATCATTGAAGAAGATACAGCTTCTTGTTGCAGACTAATATTATCTTTCATGAAACATAAAAATTACTTCATCTTTGTATCAAATAACAGGGACTTGCTTCTTCAAATTTTTATGTTTGGAAATTTTACAATGACAAATTTGGCTATTTTTTAAAAAATACCCATTTTATTTTTAGGGAGATGTAATTTTGGTGATTTTAAAAAGCTTAATAAATACGCTATTAAAAATAAAGCGCAACTAATTTCTAGCGATATTCAATTTTAGTAATAAAACATTCATTAATGCCAAAATTAAATCCTCACTAAAAAATCTGCTTAAACAGTATAAAAAGCAAAAAAATCTTTTAAATAGATCTATTATAAAGAAAGACAACATCACTACCATCCTAGCCTGTTTCCTTTTCCTGTTCATCTGCACACTTGTACAATTATCAATTTGACAAATTTTACATTACTATCAGTATATCTACATGATTTAAGTATGTTTTAAGGTTACAGTGAAAACTCGAATCTCTGTCATGCTACTATGAATAGTTTTAATTATGTGTTTTTCATAACTTATTTTAAGAACTGTTGACCACGATGAAGAACTCACCATTTTACATAACTCTGCCTTAGCCTCATCCACTCTTTCTCTGTCATTGCTATCCACAACAAAGATGAGACCCTGAAAAGGTATAAAATATAATACACTGTTATAATTTGTTATCTCAAAGACTATCTTGAAAACAAGGAATATGTTAAACTGCTCTCACAGTTTCAGCCACAACCTTTTCCTCTTGTTTATCTTAGTTCTGTCAAATTTTATATGAAAAGACTTGTTATGTTTGACTGTTTAACTAATCACGTCACTGATCATTAAAAAGAAATTGCATGTTTGTATTGTTTAATATAAATACCCATACACCATGTACAGTGTACAATTAATGAACAGTCTTTAAACAGTGTCACTTCCTTTGTGAGATTGATTTATTAAATTGGCCTACTACAGTACAATAACTCATTTTAGCAAATATTATGATATTAGGAAGTCATTTATAAATAAAAGTAAGGGAGGGAAACCTGTGCATGCAAACAAAACACAGCTACAATGGATTTTTTTTCACTTTGCTTAGAAAACACATGAAATTACAAAAAAGCTAAGTTGAACTCAATAACACTAAATGGACAAACTATGTTTTTTAAGGGAGGGGGGGGGGACATGTATACCGTTGTTTATTTATCAGTTTAGAAAAAAACTCACATGCGTATTCTGGAAGTAGTGTCTCCAGAGTGGACGGATTTTGTCCTGACCGCCGACATCCCACACAGTAAAACTGATGTTCTTGTACTCTACCGTCTCCACATTAAAACCTTAAAGAAAAACGTAAGTGAAAATTCTTGTTAAGATGAAATAAGAATAGTCAAAGTATGAGGCATAAAATGATATGGTCTGTAACTTTTCATGTAAAGTGCCATGAAAAAATGTAAATGTTACTTAATATAAGTAAAAAAATTGATATACCATTTCACAAAACAAGTCTTCTTTTCATTACTTTCATCAACTAAAAAAAATCCTACCAATTGTGGGAATAGTTGTGACAATTTCTCCTAGTTTCAGCTTGTACAGGATGGTTGTTTTACCAGCAGCATCAAGTCCAACTACAAACATTAAAATATTATGGATACAGGATGCAACTATAAATAGTATGTAATGAAGTGTACCACAATGCATTTAATTGTTGTTCAATGTTTTGGCTATGTTCAACAAAATTAAAGACACAGCTTTTTAAAATCTTTGTGTATATATATAATAGAAAATTGCTAAATTGTCACAGGAAAGGAGTATATTGGTAGTATATGACTGAAACAAGAATCAAACCCATGATCCCTGCTTTACTAATACTAGTCAGGTGCTCTAGACTGAGCTATCCAGGATAACATCCGCAGTCCATATACTCCAAAGCACTACATTTCTCCTTTCCTTTCTTTTACTGTTTTTGTCTTTGAAGACACATAATCCAGATTATTTAGCCCCTGACAAAATTTTCTCTTTGAGTTTTGGGATGGCCAACAGCAACAAATGCAACAAGAAATGAGAAAATCATGGATGGACTGAATATCAAACCCAGGACTACTGCATAACTAACTGGGTACTCTAACTTATAAGCTATCCTCCATGCTCATATCCACAGTCCCATTTACCCCAAACCAATACACATTGAATCACAACAAACTCAACATGACATTAAAATTTGAAGTGAGTCACCCCAGTATAAAGAAATATGTTTTATAGACACCCTCTTTTCAAGATTGAAGTAGAGAATACTTATATATTAATGTATTAAACTAGCTATGTGCAAGACATCAGTGACAAATGCAGGACACACAATTGAAGCACAAAATATTAAAATCAGCATGGTATTATATTTATAAATCACAACGATTTTAATTTTTTAGACAAGTATTACTTCAATCTTACCCATGAGAATCCTCATTGCTTTCTTTCCAAACAGACGATTGAACAAACTGGAAATGGTGAGCCCCATTTTCGATGACTAGGGTTTAAAAGGATGATCGGTAGCAAAGTTATTGAATATTTTTGGATAGTATAGGTCTTGATATTAACCTTCACAACAAAAATATTTTCCACAACGACTCAGTGACAACCTAATACAAGAATTTTTGTCAATGCCACGTCAATTTCTCCAACCTAATTTTCTTTTGACAATGACGTATGCGAAGCGGAAGTGGTTCGACTTTTAGTATTAAAATTCATGGAACGAAAAAAGTATAAATGCGCTTCTCTACCCGAAATCAAGAAAAAAAGTTCTATTTGAATTCTTCCTATATATTCAAATTAAATGTATAAAAAAGAATCACAAATTCAGGAGATAACAAACAAATTATTTCGTTTTGATTGATGTCAGTTATTCCAAAACTATAAATGTCTGTTTTTGCCAATTTTTAGGTAAATTTATAATATAATATTCATAATTTAATTCAAATTATTAATTTTCAATGTATTATAATATATTAATTCCCTCGGCTGTCTCCGTAAATCTCCGACCACCCAGAGGCTGCTGGTCGGAGTTCACGGAAAAAAAGACATATATTCAAATTAAATGCCGAGCGTCTGGTTAACGAGACTATTCCAAAACGAAAATTATTTTTAGCATTTCGAGCCCGATTATTTTTTTTAAGAAATGCTTTCAAATCGGATTTTTTTATTGATTTGTTGATTAAGCTTGTAGGCATGTATCATTGAAGTTCTTTCTGTCGGTAGTAGTATAAATTCCATTATGTTTCATCAAATATCTCAAAAGATAATGATAACGGCATGTGAAAAGGGGGGAGGGGGGGGTAGAAAAAAAAAGAAAGCGTTTTTCACAAGCCATTTTGTTAAACACACAATTAAATTGCCCATGAAGTGGTGAGGTAACTAGTCTTTCAATAAACATTTTAATGATACAATGTTACATGGATGTTTGGCAGCCCCCCACCCCCACCCCACCCCCGGTCTGTTGATTTTTAGCACATTGCATTCATGATGATTTACTTATAACTAACACCCCAATCCACAAACATAACATTTTAGATAGATGCACTAGTACTAGTAATTAGAAAGTTTAAGGGTCAAGGGTCTAGGCAAACAATAAATATATTAATTAGCAGGTATATCATCGTCGGAAACCCACGGGTGATCTCGTTTTTACTTATCACAAGTACGAGATCACCCGTGGGTTTCCGACGATGCAGGTATATATAATTAGTGTACATTGTAGATCTATTAATAACATTTTTAAAACAGTTGAGTTTTTTTTTAACTTATTTTAATCAGCATACTAGTACAAATACATGTAAACCAACCAAGAAAGGTAGATCCCAATTTTCAAAGCCTATATAATGTCTATTTTTGCAAAAAAAGTGGGGGGGGGGGCTAAGCCCCACACCCTACCCTCTAGCCCCCGGGTTCCGACGCCTATGTCGGGTAATGCATAGAACAACAAGGGAGTCATGTAATGGTGGAAGTGTATCTTGTTATCACTCAACACAACGGTACAACAAATAATATCCAGCTGGGATTTCAAGCTGACATATCATGTTCCCTGCATTTTTGTGAGCATATATATATATATTTTTCTTCAAGAACATCAAATTAAATGCACAAGCATATAACGCAATAATCAAACTTTGAACTGGGGGGCACTTTTTCTCTACTGTGTGAAGTTATCGCCCTTATAAATTTAAATTACATGTACATTCATTTCTTTGCAAAAATATACAATTCTGAAAAATCCAATGTAAAGTACGAAGATCAAGAATAAACTTTTTATAATTTCTTTTAAAATGACGACGAGAATTTTCTCTTTAGTATAGAATAAGTATTTTTCCGTTATTTTTTTATTGTAAATAACTAAGAAACATTTATGTATTTTGTATACACAAAGTTTACTTCATAAGAATAAACAATATGTGAGTCAGACAAATAAAAAATAAAGAAAGAGAGTGCATGATTGTGGGGAGATAAGAGACATGGAAGCAGCGAGAGAGAAAGATGAGGGGATGGAGTGGAAGGAGGAGGGAGTGGAGAGAGGAAGAAGAAGAGAGAGGAGGGAGTGGAGGAAGAGGGAATGGAGAGAGGAGGATTAGGAGAGAGGAGGAAATGGAGGAAGAGGGAGTGGAGAGAGGGAGAGGAGGAAGAGGGAGTGTAGAGGAGTAGAGAGTGGAGAGAGGAGGAAGAGGGAGTGGAGAGAGATGGAAGAGGGAGTTAAGTAAGAAACATGTGAGGGGAGAGAGAAAAGATGGGAGGGAGAGAGAGGAGGACGACTGAGTGGGGAGAGAGAGATGGGAGAGAGAGACAGAGAGAGAGGGAGGGAATACTTTTTTCTTTGTCAGTTCTTTGCAAACATTTAGAGAGGGACCATCTCTGACTATGCAAGTGAGTTAATTCTAGATGTAGGCTTGTCTATGCTTAAGGAATCACTGTGCAGTTGGTATAGTATGCCAGGGCATCAACGATAGTGGGAAACAGCCCGTCATGCATAAATTATCCCATTTTTCCACTATCGTTGATGTCCCTTGCATACTATACTAACTAGACACTGATTCCTTATATTTCCATTTCATTGTGAAATAAAATTGAAGATTTAGATTTTAAAAATGTGGACTAATAGATTTGAATTACACAATAGTCCTCGCCCACTTACGTCAAACACAAGGACAGCCGCACGAGATTTACATGTATATTTGGCCTCTATAGCGTCAGAAACAAAGACAGACGCGCACGAGATTTACATGCGCATTAGGTTGTGAGGTGGATAAAGTATACAAATTGCAATTGGTTTAATAATGTGTCTGGAATTAGGAAGTGAAAGGTAGATGATTTACCAATGTTGGAAAATGGAGAAATCCTCCCAAACAGTGCGCCGTAAATTGCATATTTTTTCTATTACGGGATCTGTACATAGCATTATGGTCAAAGACTAATACTGAGTATATATAAAACCATAACGCTACAGTTCTGCAGCCAGTTTTTATCTGGTCTTTTAATTTGAACATTTTGGTACCTCTTTGTCAATATATGTCATCAAATTTGATTTTGAATTTACACAATCACCAAATATTTCTAGATTTTCAGGCTTAGTTTTCCAATGCTTGATCCATCCCAGTCCCTCACAGCTGCACTCCACAGGCGAGCCAGAGAGATCAATATCTTGAAGTGCTTTAATGTTCATGATGGCGGTAGGGATGGTAGTTAAATTCGTGTTGTCCATTCGAACATCTGCGAGTTGGTTAATGGTCATGAAAGCATCTTTGGATACCCGGGTTATTGGATTCCCAGACAGGTATAACGTAGTTAGCTTTGTCATGCCTCCAAAATCGGAGTCGTATATTTCTGTGATTTTGCTATTTGTAATCTGAAGCCGGACAATGCTTCTTAGAGAGGAAACACTAGATGGGACGATTGAAAGTTTCGTGTCGTTTAAAAAAAGGTACATGAAATTTGAGAATATATTTGGTGGAAAGACGTCATCACGTATGTACTCGATTGGTTCCGAGAAAACTGACAAAGCACCGAGCTTTGAGGATTTCATAAAGATATTCGGAATTGTTTCAAGGTTGTTGTCTTCAAAAGTTACATGCATTAAATTTGGCAGTCCACTTTTCGCACAGTTTGAAATGGCATTTGCAGAGAGGTTTTTGTTACCTTGAAAAAGCAAATCACCTAAAGAGTCTAGGCCGGCAAAAGATGGCAGAGTTGTCAAACTTGTATTATAAAAGCTCAGAAATGACATAGTCTTCTTATACATTTGGAAAGAAGTCTCGGGAATTGTAGAAAAAGTCACATCATAAAGGTCTATTGAAATTAAGTTTGGTAGGTATTTCATATTGTCGGGCCATTTCTGCATTGCATCAGATCCCAGACTTATAAATTGTAAAGAAGACGCCACCTTCTGCAGTACTCCATCCTTTAAATCGGCCATTGGATTTCCCTGTAAATTTATACCCATGAGTTTCTTCAGACTACCGACAGCCGTCGGTAATTCCTTCAATCTATTATAATGTAGATGAAGAACTATCAGACTATCCTCACTTCCGGCGAATGCGTCATCATCAATGCTGTCGATTTCATTACTGTCAAGAATCAACATCTGAAGCGTCACTCCAACAAAACTTCTGGAAGGAATATGTGTGATCTTATTTGCACCCAGATAAAAGGCCCACAAACCGTCAGCTTTCGTGACGTTAGGAACAGAAGTCAGGTTTTTGTCACGACAGTACACGATAGGATCCTCTCTGTCACACTCACATGGCGGGGGGAGGGGACAGGAACCAACAGACAGACCAACGGAGCCAGGAATACGAGCAAGAATTAAGACTGCACAATGGACCTAGTAAAAGGAAAACATTTCATGCGTTTGAGATCTTTGGCGCGTAGATTTGGTTTGGTCAAGAAGAAATACGAATGTTTGAAATTTCGATGCAGAAAGACATTGATCACGTCCTCTAGATTCACAGACTATCGATCAAAAGACCGTAAATATATACAGTAAATATGATGAATAGTCTATCAAGTGAAGAAATTTATTAATTTTATACTAAACTTGATTACAAGTATTTCAGGTAAGTAACTTATAAAAAGAATTGCCCTGTGTATACTTTATATATTATGATTACAAACTTACAAGAATTATCTTCATGTTGACCTTTTCAACGAATTTACCCTCTCTCCGGAAGATAAGATCAATTATATATGTACAAGGAGAGAAAACTGTAAATCGAAATATACGAGGGTTATCAATATTATAGTTCGCGGGAAAATGTTTAAATTTCTTAATTTGATCGCACTGGTAAATGTTATCAAAAGAATGCCCACTATTTAACGAACGTTACAGGTGTAAATACTTTGTACATGGTATACATATTTAAAAAAAAAAAAAAACCCATAACGTCCCAAATCTTTTCATGATAACGTCCAAAATATGGATTTTAAATTTTTATTACATGTTCATCGAAATACACGTAGGCTGCATTTCCTTAAATTTTACAATTATAGCCTTTTGATGAGGTCAATCCCTAGATATCCCTTAGAGAAAGCATATTGACCGAGTACGACGTGCGGGGTCGATATGCTTTCTCTAAGGTCTATATACCGGTATATATCTAAGGATTGTACCAAATCAAAAGGCTACCATTGTTTTATTATCTTTTTTATCAGTTAATAAGAAATGTCTTAAAAAATCCATTTTTTTAACACTTAGCACCTTCTCATATAAGGGATTGTTATGTTATTTGCCTTATGACGTTACAGTAATGAATATAGCAGCTGCAGTATCAGTTTTTAGAAACATATATAGTTTATTTAAAGACTTTTGTTCTGTTTCAGCACTATTGTTTCCTCACAGAAGAACGTTTCCAATTTTAGAAACAGCAGTTTTAGAAACGGTGCATAGGACAGACCAGTCCGATTTTGCGCCAGATATATAACAGCGTTATGGTAAGGGATACTGAGTATCCTTAAATAAGTATTTTCATCAAATAACAATCATTTTGATTTTCCACTTCTTGATGTGTTGCCAAAATTGAATACATGAATACTGTCAGAAAATCATATATGCAGAGTTTTCATTTCAAATCAATGAGCTATATATTCATATATTTGCAATATTCAATTTGTTGGAATAAATATTTATAATTTAGTCTCTGAAGTCCTTTTGACCATATTAAGAGCCATTCTCTGTAATGATTTGAAATTTTATATAGGAGCTGTGGCACGCATAGTCTCAGAATTTCTCCAAACTCTCTATGATAAAAGTCATTGATACCCTAAACTGAAATCAGGAAAAAATTGGTTGCTATGTTGTATAGTGACCATGGCAACATGTCTTAAAGTTCGAAAAATGGCATTTTTTAACATGTTTAGAGCCCCATAGTTAACATTGGCGGCAAAGCAAACAATTGGCAATGACTGTTTCAAATAGTTGAAGGTCAGATGTCTCAAATGCATGATAAACATGTTTGGTAAATCAACTATTACATACGTTACTATGGTAACAAAGTATTCAAAAGTAAAAAAAATATTCATTGAATTTTATAAAGTCATACACGTAAAAATAAAAAGCAATTATAGGATGAAGTGTTACCAAATAATAGAAAAAAAAGCCTTGAAACATATACCAAGAACAAAATATAAAATTTCATTTTGGTTGGCAATGGTTGCCAAGGTTTTTATACCACAGAGAGCCTTCAAAGTAACACTCTGTGTAATTAAATCTGATCCTATCTTTTAAAAAAAGCACATTTCCTCATAACTAATGATCAATTTTATAAGATGTCGGTGTGCTCCAAGTTTTCCCATTTGAAAAAATTCAGATAAGATTCCTTAAATAGAGCGTTGCTATGGAAATAAGCAGAAAATATATGCTTAAAAACCTGAAAAATATTTTCTTTCCTTGGATACGTACCCTTAAATGTAGATTCCCAAAACTTTTATGATTGATATTTATTAACAGCTAACTTGACTTTTAATTTTGACTATCATCCAATCTCTAAGTGGATGCAAGAAGTTGGTACACAGGGTTTAATATTGATATAAAGTTCACAAAATCGAACATTTTCCGTTCTTGGTAACCATAGCAACAGTGTTGTTTTATTCATCAAATTTTATCAATATATGATATTGAACTTCAGTTCTAACAGATAAGTACTATTCAAGCTGAGTCCTTTAATTTGTTTCTTGATTAAATGGCAATTTAATTCTTAATGCAGCGAAAAATAATTCACTTTTAAGCACTGGTACTTTGTTTCCATGGTTACACTGCAAAGTAGCAATTATACCCAATTTTTCTTATGGTTTTGGTGTTGCAAGGTCCTAAGGATGCATATTTGCCAGTCTTGAATTTTCATGTTTTTTCTCAAGACAGTAGGATTAACCCAATCTTAGTTACTGGTTTTGCATGGTTACACTGTGTTACCATGGCAACCATAAAAGTTATTTATAGAATAATATTGCTTATACTTATATACTTAAGGTCAAACATTTTCATTGTTTTTCTTAAGTCGTTGATTGAGTTTGAGCATATAACACCTACCATTAGTGAATACGGAGTGTTTTTCAGCATATTTCAGCATTTTAAATGTATTCCAAAAGTACCCTTGGTTACCATTTACTTAGAGATATAATCTAAACAGTTTCTTTACAGTATAAGTGACGTCAAGGTGTCATGTTTTTGTGAGAATGGTTTGTTTGCTTTTTCTAGTTTTTATTAAGCCACAGTCAAGATTTAAAGTGGCTTAAAATCTCGATTTTTTAAACTTTTCCGGCTGTTGCCATAGCAACCGAGACACATAGCAACAAAATTTTGTTTGATATTTGTTTCTGGTGTCAAGTACTAAGCATGGGTGAAGTTTCATCAAAACCGGTGACCATGCGTGGCAATGAAGTTTAAGTGGTTACAGGGAATGGTTATTAAATCCTATTCATTCAGAATTTTTATGACTGGAAGCTGTTCCGTTCGGATGGCCGAGGTCGCTTTTCCTGTCAATTTTTGAAACTTTTCTTGCAGTTTTTTCCTTAATTATTTATGCCTTCTTTATATCAAGCGATACTTAGATATCCCAAAATCACATTGCCATTTTATTTCCAAAATTGCATCAGGGCATGAATTGTTTTATTTTAAAAGATTCATTTAAACCTTGTCTTTGCTACCCTGACTTTTCATAACAAATATTTTGGTACATAATAAGTATATCTAGGATAAATTTATTTTGTCAAAAAACGTTGTTGTCGGAATGACCACGTGTACGAAATTATTGACAACCCTCGTATACATTGAAGAATATATAATAGATCATCTTTTTATAAAAGAAAATATGAGTGAAATTTTAGACGATATTTACAGAATCCTTTACAAGCTGTTGAAGTTGCAATTGCAGGCGTATGATTCTCTACCTCTTTGTTAACTCGAGAATAAAATTTGCTTTTATATAAAAAAAAAAAAGTGAATCTAAAATGGAAAAAAAATCCGGATACATTGCATTAAAATTTGACCAGGGATATAAATCTTAAAAGAAATAACGGTCTCAATGATAGTTCTATTTTTTAGAGGGTCAGTGAAAATTATAATAATTCCTTTTAAAAAATCTGTAGATTTTCATCCATTTCTATTCTCTGTACATGTATTGATCTAACAAATACGCGTTCACATATATAATCAAAGTACTCAGAAGTACAGAGAGCCGGGCTCATTTACAGAGTAGAATGGATTTTTTTTACATGAATCACGTTTATATTCTGATGAAAAAATATTTAAAACTATCAATATAAATGATAAGACACTGACAGTGAGTTTTTAAATCCTAATACCACGGTCCGATTTTGTCAGAATCAGAATTAATCTGGTACCGCAGCTGAATGTAAACAAACAGGCCAGTCTGGTTCCCTCTCCTGCTTTACCTCGTATGTGTAACACTGATTATCAAAAATCCTTACGCTAATGAACTATGTTCTTTGACTTATGATGTTTTCAAAGTCATTACTACTAATGTTTATTTTATATAGATAAAACTTCGTTTTATTTTTGTTCCTTTATTTAGCATTTGTATTATCTCAAAAGCGGTTGAGAGTAAGAACTATATTTTTGCACGTAACTTTGAAATGGCGACTATGGGGTTAACATCCTGCCTTGAACAGGATCACATAAGCCGGCAATTGCTCTTTGAGCAATAAGCCCGGCTAAAAATAGAATTTTTACCACTCGAGATCACCACGTGTTTCGCTAAAGCGTTTTGGGAAGTGAAATTAAACTTTCAATTGCAGTAACGGAATTGATCAAATGACATCCAGTTAATTATATTATAATTGTCCTTTTTTCAAAATTAAGTTTTACGGAAGTAGATTTTTTCAATGGTTTGATTAAAAGGACCTCTTTTCTAAATTTCAAAACCAATATATCAGGATATCAATAATAAAATGATGGCGATAGAAGCTTGCAGAGATGCAAATATTTCAACATTATGAAGAAAATCCATACAACACTTGTATTGAGGGGTAATCCAACCAGCTAGATTACAATCGGTGCTTCCTCTTTTCAATAGTTCTGAATACACGCGTTTTACAATATCATGAACGGAATACAAGTAACACTTTAAAGTGCAAATCAAACGTTTACAACATCAGAAACAAAACACTGGCCTTGTCTAAATGATCTAAATCTATTAATTATAAAAATTATTCTGCAATATTACGCTATGCTTTCCTGGCTATGATTTAGGCACATATAACCGTACTTCTCTCAAACGGAAATATCCACTACTGAACTCGACAAATTAGTTATATATGTACATGATATTCCCCTGTACTTGTATAACAAGGGATAGATCAATTCATTTGTGAAAATTGTGATCGTGATGAATTATTTTATTGAACAAGTGAATCTCCAGTTGAGAGATGAATACATAAAACAATAAAACAAAAACAAGATAAACATGACATAAAGCTATGAATTTTGAAATCCGTAATTTTCCAGAGGGTCAATTTTCGATGCAGTCGTGGTATAAGGAGACCCACTGTAGATGCCCTCCACAAATACTACATCTTTAAAAACAAAATGAAATATCAGTAAACCAATTTGAAAGTTTTCCCCTCTAAGCACGAGAATTGAACCCCATGAAAATATGTGAATTTATAGTACGTGTAAAAAAATGAAAACTTTAAACAATCCTTTAACATTACACGTTTTCGAGATTGTTGTTTTCTACATCATCTTTGGGAACAGGTAATAACTGAGCCGTTGAAGCCTCTCCAGTCCTTTCAGAATCATCACTCTGGTTATTTGTAGTATCACCATTCTGAGACAAATGGTCATGTGAATTTGCAAGTCTTTGTTTAAAGTATAATTTTAACCTGTATAATCCGAACAGCAAAGCATACGCAATCGGTATGCAGATAAATAGATATAAAACAACCCACATAATGGCATTCCCTGGCTTATTCCAGTCTAATATTGGATATACTTTGGTTCCCGTGACAGCAAAGTAGATGGCGGTGAATATCATGTAACACAGGCTGAACAGCATTGACATGTAAACATGTTGCAGCTTTATTGGCTTTTTAGATACGATGATAATAATTATTGTATAAAGAAAGTTTATTCCATGTTTGTTGATAGTACTGCCTTTGAATGATCCAGCTGAGAAAAAAAAAGAGACTGATAAGTACCAAACTAAGATGATTGTTACCAAGAAGTATTCTTAAAGTCAAATGTTTGTATGCATAATTTTACATAATTATGTAACTTTCTGTGGAAAGAGGAAATGACTAGGATTCAATCCAGTTACATTTTAGGAAGAAAAAAGTATTTTAAAAAATTATTATGAAATATTTGAAAAAAGTTTGAAACCCTTATTAATATTTTAGAGTTAAAAAGTTTTTTATAAACCATTGGTTTTCCAAAAATAAATCAAATCTTACAGCATATAATTTAAATTAGTATATATATTTAACAAAATTAAGCCTTAAATATCAACTTCAAAAGTAAGTTCATTTTGAGAGAAATGCCATAATTAAAACGATATTAGTACGATACCTTTGGAAAGAAGTGCCCAGTATGTTATGGTTACCATGACAGCAGTAACGTTAGAAATATTGTACAACACCCATGACAGTTTATGATACCACCGCATGGAATCTGACTCAGCATCTGAAAAATTTAACGTCAATGACATAATTTGTTGCGATTAGAGTCAAATATTTTGATCTTAAAAGTGTTTCCATTATAATCTGGAATAAAGTTATGCCTAACGGTAACTATGAAATACGTAGATTTAATAATTTAATATATCAAATTTTTAAGTTACACTTTTTGGAACAAATTTTAAAGCCTTATGTAGTTTTAAAGTGATTGTAGATGTATTGGCATATACAGTGTAGCATATTATTTAGTTTCAAAGTGAACAAGCATACATTTTACTTTTTAAAATGCTATAATCAGTCTTATAATTATCATGAATATGTGCATCGAACATATAAAAATATCTCATTTTAAAATGATTATACTCAGCATAGATTAACATGATTAATGCTATCTTTCCATTTATGTGAAACTACTAGTAATCGCAGATGCTAAAAATACTTTGAAAGTTTGTAGTAATTGTAGTTGATGAAATACCTTCTGGTGAAATTCGATGCCTGAGACAGTATGTATATGAAGCTATGAAGAAATCAATCAGCGTGAAAGCTGTCAAGACAGTGTATCCAACATTGCTGAGTTGTCTGAACCAGTCAAGTGTGACGTAGTGGGATTTTAGGGACCACCAATATCCCTCCAGACACACCCAGACAAAGTGGTACAGGGCCCACGCTCCGGCCCATGGTAAATATAGGATCGGGGGCCCAAACTGAAAAACAAAAAAATATATGTAAACTGCTCAGTGAAAAAAATTCAATAATTCATAATTTAAATATAAAATTAAAATAAATTGCTTTGTGTAGCGATGCAAGGATAACAGTTATGACACTGTAGAAAATGAAACTGCAATGTGTGCAAACGTTATCCTTCAATCAACAAACAAAGAAAAGCGTTTTATTGTTTAAATTCATATCTACATGATTAATGAATATAATAAGACATGAAGAAGTATCCAGTGGAATATAAATACTTGTTTTTACATTCACGTAAAAATGTCATAATTTCTTTGTTCTTTCTTTTAAAAATCACGTGACACAGGGGTGGACATTTTTTTCTTCCAAAGAATTAGGAATTTTATTGTGTTTCCACTCCTAGAAGAATGATTTTTTTTTGGATTGAGATGTTGTATCTGTTTGACTGTGTAAGTAATACTTGTTCTTATGAATTTTAGGGCTCCTTCACCCTAGAAACCATTAAAGAAAGAGAAACAAAGACGGAAATCTGTGCAGGTTTAAGATGGCGGCCAATCAATTTATACAGCACAGTAATGCCGATTTAGAGAATCAGCAAATGCATCACATCCAGCACATAGGTAATGTTTCCTGTATGCCTTAAATCACAGCCCATGCAGTCAATTCCTATGCAGGTTGCAATGCAAAGTACATCACAAATTTAGTCACAATTTCAGAATTTCCAATAGACCCCCCCAAGCTTCCCCACAGTGGGTTCAAGAACTTTTAACTCAGTTAGATATTATGAGCCAAAAAAAAAAAAAAACTTGAAAAGTTAGAGTTGACTGAAATTTCCTGTCAAGTTTGAAAAATGATATAAAAGCCTATAAAACCTCGTGTACTGGAGGTAGAAAAAAAGCCAAGAATTTAATTCAAAATCACTCGACACTAAGGATAAGAGCACCTCCAAAGCACTCAATGAACTTTCTGAGTTGAAAACGGCATTAGAAAATTCCATGAAGCAAAATATTAGACTCACAAATAATGTCTTTGACCTATAATGCAGATCAATTCAAGAAAATCTGCTATTCTACTAAGGAATAGGTGAGGCACAAGCAGGGGAGCAAAAAAGTTGTGAAATCATTGTTAAAGACAATATGTTATACCAATTTAGAACTAGTGGATGACAATCAAATAGAAAGGGCACACATAATTGGCAGGAAAAGAAACGAAAAACCACGCCCTATTGTAGCAAAACTAGATTTCCCCAGCGGGAACTCATCTTGAAAAAAGCCTACGAACTTAAAGACACAGACCTCTCTCAACCAAAAGAAATACAAGAACGGAGAAAGGGCATGTACCTGCTGATCTATAAGAAGGCCAAGGAGGATCAAAGGAGGGCCTCCCTACTTAATGACAAACTGTATATCGATGGAAAGTTATATATTGAAGTTGGATCTGAAAAACATCAGGATCCTACTCAGAAGAGGTGGCAGGGGGAAGTACATGTAGAGTTGTCAGAAGAGCCAAGATGCATTATGAATAATAGAATGGAATTTACACGGAAGTCTTGACCATAAATTGTAAATCATCCACTTCTGTACTGTATATAATTGAATATACTGATTAGCTGTAAAGCTTAAAGTAACAGTAAAGAAGTAAAACCTGATTTGGATGTCCTATGTATATAATTTTTTAAAATCAATTCTGGAAACATACTCCTTGTGTTTTTCTTGATATTTTCACTGGATGTTTCATGATCGACAATACATACTGCGAAATCTTAAATTTTTGCGGGGGTTTAATTTTCATGGTTTTCAGGGTATGGGGAGATCCAGTAACTTTTGTCCACTATGAAACGCAGTTTTTCACATATTGTACTACTCCACAATTCTTCAACCACGAAAACAAATAACACTACAATAATACAAATATATTTTCCTCAAACCACGAAAATTCGACCTTTTAATAATATTTTACAGTTTTACAGTATATCAAAATCTGAGGAAAACTGGTCTATTTGAGATACTATTCATTATTTGGAAATTTTGGCTTGAAGAATCCAATTAATAAATAGATAAATAAAAATGTAAAATATATTAACCCTCGCTAGGTTGTGCTCACTATCTGCAACCCTTAAAAACCGCGATATACAGATGACATTGTATTTTTAAGTTCAAGTAATCAAACAAATCTAACAGTATGGTTGTCAGTTGGATTTTCAAATAAATATTGATATACAGTTGGTATATCCAGGATAAGTAGGACCATTCAGTTCGACAAGTAAAGTAACTGACCACATACTTTATGTAAAACTCTCTTTTATATTTTTGGGAGAGGAAAATATGATAGAATAAAAATAAAATATTTAATCATTTGTCATTATATCCTTAATATTTATATCATACAATGATATATTAATGTTACATATTCTTACATATATCATTAAAGTCATGTCAAAGTTCAAAATTCTCCAGTAGAGGGCACTGCATTAAGTGGCCACCTTCGGACTCTTGAGATTAATGACTTAACAGTCCCCACTAAACACGGAGGGACTTCCGGGATAGAGAGTATCGATTCCGATGACCAACTGAAACAGGAAACTACTTAACTAATACTTGTATACAATATGTACACGGGCAAGGTGATATCAGTTACATGTCTAAGTAGTTATAATGGAACAGGGACCTCGAAAAGTATTTAGTGTTTTCTAATATGAACAACACGAGACTTGATGGAAGTGAAATTGATATTCTAATTGAAAAAAATCCAGATGGGTCTCAGATAAAACACTGATATGAGGCAATCTGTTCACGATTGTTAATTGTTTGAAGTTTAGATTTTATTTGTTCAGGGTAATTAGTTTAGATACGATAAGATGTATTGTATTCAATGATTTAATTATCAGAAAACTGAAACTGCTTATTGACATTAATTGCTACAAGTTAGGTTTACAAAAAGTGTTAAATAAATATTTGAAATATCTAAAATGAACGTAATATATATCAATGATTTTTTTCAGATTCTGATTTAATTGTTTAGTCTTTCAGTTTTATAACACTTCATGAGTGCAAAAAAAGTACAATTCTATAACTTTATAACTTAATAATTCATAGAAATACATATTCTAGCTATTTTTATCATATACAAGGAAATTAAGAAAAAATATCAACCCATCGTTAAAACATGACATTTAGAAATATTGAAATACAATTAATTAACGATAAATATTAGCATTTCCTTGTGCAGCGTATAATTAAAGTTTTATCAGAAGATTCTGAAATTTTAGAAAAACTCACACCTCTAGTCGAACAAAATCGTCTGGCTGCTGATGCTGAAGTCCAAATTCTTTGAGCCTTAGCTGCTGTCGGCAAGTCATTCTAGCATTTTTGTCTGTCATGTCATCTCTTGCTTTCAATGTATTATAATCGCCTGTTTTCCGGGAAGAACACTGATTTTACATCCCCCTTTATCCATTGGTGGATGACACATCATCAACAACATCATGCTGCGAAAAGTAAGTAATTCAAGCTATAAATAGCTAGTCAAGCAGATGGACAGTATTCACAATAGGTTTTAAATATTTGGACATCAGAATTCAAATTTAATTTTTTTTTTTCGATGAGCATTAAAAACCTTTGCATATTTACATGAAGTTTCAAATACATGCACCTCACTTTGTATCTTCATTTAAATATAAAATTAAGTTACATTACTACTTTTAAAACTCAAGCAATTTTTTTATCTTATCTCAGATCTCAGATCTCAAATCTTTCAATGGTTTCAAGGAAATGTACTTTTTTCCCTGATATGCTTCCTTCCTGTCGATACCAAATTACAAATATATCAGAAAGCCATAAAATGAAATCAGTTGTTACATAAATTTCACATGTAGATGCCATGTCATTGTCAGGAAGGCGGGATATCTACCAAGTTTCCCTGTGTGTATATGTTTATACCTAAAGATGAACTGATAAAAGTATTTTAAAAAGATGAATAAAAAAAAACTTAAATGCAGAAATACATTGGCAAGCTCCAAGTTTTATTTAGGGTTCCACTCCTACTCAAAAATGCTTTAAATATGCGTATTAAGTTAACAATAATTTTATGCTCTAAATGCTATATAAAAGACTGTAGTAAATATTTGGTCAAAGCCGGGGGAAAACATAAAGTGTTACTATGATAATGAAATAAAATGTGTAGATAATGACGCTATGAAAATAAGACTTTACGTTGAATTTAAGTCCATAGTTGTTCATATTTTAATCAAAATGATGCTACACAAATATATTCCTGAAAACACAAAGCGAAATACATGTTTATGACCTTTTCACGTGATTTATATGATTTGCAGCAGATTATATATTAATTAAACAGTACAGGAAAACAAAATCAGGAAATTCAAAATATTTTTATAACAAAATGTGATACAAATGTACCTATAAAGTTTTTTTCAGGGTTAAAAGCCAGATATTTCATTGCATGTATTTAAAAAACTTGAATGCACGTTGCTGAAATCTATACGATTTTGTGAAGTGAAGTACATTGTATTTGTAAATATGGATTCGTCTTTTGTCCATGTGTAGTATCGTCAAAATTAGAATGTCTTTTTGAATAATTGAAAAATTAAATACTGTTAAATTTATATCAATATTGTGTAAACTGTACCTAGATTCCTCGTAATACAAATTCAACGTATATCACAATCACCTTCAGATTACTTCGGGGTAATTTCACGCAAATATACATTCAATTTGGTGTGCAAGGCAAGATAACAGTTATTTAAATGATAATTAAATATTGCCTCTACTTTACTCAGAAGAGCGGTATGATAAAAAACTAAATAAATGTAAATCCCAGTTCTACAAGACATATACTAGAGCACTGAATAAATATCGTTGTAAAATGAATTCCCAAAATTTTAGCAAAATAAACAACATAAAAACAAGATTTCTCTACTTTATATACACAAATGAACACATATTACGGACAGATGATACAAACAAACTTATGTCCAAAAAATTGAAAATAACAACTTTGGTCATGATTCAATGAGTGCAATGAATAAGTTTCACCGCGTTTTTGATTTTTTATTCAAAGTTCCACATAAATGGTATTTGAAGTGAAAAAATAGTTGTATAAATTAATAAGGATGGTTTCAGAAGGACAGACTTTTGAACATCACAGAAGGTTTTCAATTACTTTTTAAATTATATTTTAGAAATTTATTGTTTGCATCATTTACAAGGAAATTAGGCCAAAAATAAGTACCGATCCAGGCATCCATTTTTGTTTGTATCATCTGTCTTTAAAATAATTAAAGTTCAGGGGCCTGTTTTACAAAAGGACTTATGACTTAAGACCAAATTTAATTTTCATATAACTTTTTAATTAACAACATATCAAAAATTATTTTTTAACTTTTAAAAGGAATGTGGTAAGACATTTTTACACAAACAATTTCAAAGGGAATTATTAATTTTGCAAAGTTTTACAATAATCCATAGTTTTTGGTCATTGTCGTAAGTTCTTTTGTTAAACGGGCCCCTGGCTTTTTTTACATCATTGACAGCTGCTTTTTCAATTAAAAAAAATGAAATTTTGTAAATTTACATACAAGTGCCTTGTCATTGGTCATTGGGCAACCGATCTGATTGAACACACAAGTACATGTGCTCTAAAGATGCTTGAGTTTCCAAATATACGATATTATTGTGGTTTTTGAAGACTATCTCCAACGATATTGAAGCATAATAGTTTTGTATTCATATGAAGCAAAATTCAAAATTTTAAACGTGAAAAGAAGAAAATAATCAACTTGACAATTAGATATTCGACGACGTATTGTCAATGGTTATTCCAATCTTATGTCGATCCGATCTCTCCCAGTAAGCTTGAAATAAATGACACCACAGAGTCCGACACTTCAGTATTTTTGTTCATGGTTTAAATCCGAGAGTTGTTTTTGTTTTTTAAATACTTCATAATAATACCATTGATTTGACCCTGTCATCTCGAACTTGGAGTTTTACCAACATTTTGAAAATTTAAATCTTGGCCATAGTTTTAGAACGGTTGGTGCTTATGCTTTCCTGTTTCACTGTTATAGTTTTTGAAGCAATTCCTTTCTTTGGGAAACAACATTTTTTTCATCTCTTGATCTTGAAGTCTGACTTGCATTTGAGAAACTTTAACCTTTGCCAAAAGCTACCATACGAGGGCATCAGTATTTCACTAACATATTTTTTGTTTACTTTTAAATTCGAAAGGACTAGAAAAGTAAACTATATTTGTTCTAAAAAGTTGAAAATCGAGAACTGAAACTAAAAGAACTAAATGGTATACGTAAATCACAAATCTATTTTTGTTTCGTAGGAAAGCACTTACCACTGTTAATAACTGATCTGGTATATGTGATCATTCTTCCTACAGCAATGACAAATTATTAATACCCTGTATTCTTTCTTAACTTTGTCATACTAGTCTTCTAAAGCATTTTTTGAAATGTTTTCCTCTATCTGCCAATGTGCACAATGGTCTTAATGAAATGAATAACTCTTTGTGTATAATTTATTCTACTATGCACGTTAATTTTGACAAAATAAAATAAGGAAAATGAAAGAAATCAATATAAGGAAAATTGAAATAAAAGAAAATCAGGAAAATTTAAAATATTAAAAGTTTTTTTTTTCTCATTGGAGAGAGGATTATTTTTCTTCCATGAATCAATGAAGGTAAGGTACACCCTACCTGTACTTAAGCACGAGTAACACATATCTAAAGGACAAAACTGAAATGAGAAATATTATCATGGCAGATTGTATGATGGGTTATATATTCTCCCAAAGTTAATGAATTGTGTTCTCTTACCTGCTAATATTTATACAGATTCCATAACTGTTTATCAAGAATGACCGCCCGTTGACCCTCAACTTTATCCAAAAAGTGATTCACAAATAATCCACCAAATTAATTTATAATTGTCGCAGCCTCACGCAAAATCTTTTTTTTTAAGTCAAGTGTTTTGGATATTAGAACATGCCATGCATACAGTTATTGTATTGTTATTATCAATGATGGAAATATGATGGAAATATGATAGAAATAGTCATCTCTTAATGATATAAAAATTAATGGTCTTATTTTGTTGAACGCATAAAAGAACATTAAGTGATCACAGGCACCTTACAAACATTAAAATAAGCATAATGAATGCCACAAAAATACAACAACGGTAATAGTAAAAATGTACTTAATACAGGGATATTTAGTATTACAAATAATCTATCTTGTAGGTAGGAATTATGTGGAAAAACAAATATCTATCTTGTGATGTATTGTTTTTAGTAAAGAAGTTGTATGCTGATAGATTTATAAGCCTTTTATACTATTGTATATATCATTATAAATCATCTGTCTTCTGATTCATAAAAGGGGCATTTAAATTTGAAATAAAAATATTCAATTTATTGACTCTTTTTTGTCAATTGTTCCCCTATCATTTTTCAGATAAATACTCATGTACAATGTATATAACCCCAACACGTGGGGGACAAATCTGACTATCTTTGAAATCGTTTTAAAAAATTTATGATAACAAATAGTACTTATAAAATACTTTATACATTCTTTTCATACATGCTTTTCATTTTATAGATTCTTATATTTATTTTATTCTCATTAATTTACTTAACATAAAAATATTTTTGAAAACATTAGCTTCATAAAAGGAATTTTTTCCTGCATTATCTATCGCTGAGGACATTTCTGTATGAATCACTCGCTATTTTAGAATAATTTTTGAATGACAGATACCAGCAATTTTTTTATTTTAAATAATTGTTCATAAAACATATTGACCGCACCGTGAACCAGCATCTTCACCAAAGAATCTTGGGACGTGTTTATAATGTATAAACTAATTATCGTTGATTAATCATGTACTTCAGACATGGAAAAGATACTATTAATCTACAAACTTCAAAACAGGAGACGCAAACCAAAAGCATTTACAGAAGGCACACCCATAAAAACATGCTTGATAATATCGCAAAAATGTTTGCATGTAAACATATATAAATGGAAGACTTACAAATGAAACATATGGAGATAACGAACAGTATTCAAGATGAAAAGTCCATAAAACAATAAAAAAAATAGGAACAGGGCAAACACAGACCTCCAAACCATCAGAGGTAAGATCAGGTGCCATGGATGAGTGAGCATCCCCTGCTGACCGGTCACACCCACTTGATTCAGTGTTCAGTGTGTAAATATTGACCTAATAATTTGTATGAAAATTGACATTTACAATACGTCGTCGGTATATCTAAATGTGGAGTTGTATATGCAAGTGTTTTCTTCTGTTTGCATATAAGATTTTAAACAAATTCTGCTTCAAAATAGGTCTGCTAATAACGGGGTTCAATTGGTACTCAATAGATTGTTGGATTAAGTTTTTGTCCTGTCCGTCCGTTTGGCTATCTGTTTGTCAATAACATTATCCTTGCTCTTACTATTG